CCTCAACTGTACCGCGCTGTTTTCTCCACTCAAACGTGGGCGGGGACAGAGCTGTAGGGTAGGGGTACCCAAATGCTGCCTCTTCATACTCCGCCCGCGTCCAGTAACACGCCTAACCATGGCAAAACGCGCTACTTGTATGCGCTCTCTAATTTCTGGTTGCTCTCTATCGCAGGATACGTGTTTCACTGAGGGACCATGGTGTCGACGCAAGCGCTGCACATGGGTAATAGGCGGGCGGTGTACTGAAAAGGCACTCAGGCACCATTATCTCTCAGCCCCGTTCCGTGCACTTTTGAGCGGAGAAAGTAGCACGCTACCGCAGCTGTGGACCCATTCACTTCGCACAGGATCGCCCTTGGAGTGATTGTGAGTGCACAATTTCTCTTCAAACTGTGTCATTAGCATGGGTTAGTGGACAGCGAATTTCGTACCACTTGATGGAAGGAAATGAGTCGCTTACTTACAATTGAGGCATATTTTACACCCAACGCTAATGACCAATTCATCGACCAGTGAGTAATTCAAAACGATAACCGAAATAGTTTCAGGTAATGCGCCATGCCTCAAACACAAGCCAAAGATCAGCCTTACGAAAACAGGGTTCAAAGACTGATGTTCGTGGAGAGTTTCTTGCGATATCTCTGCTTGTATATTCATGAATGCTTTCCTCATTAACACCCTATTGATACCTGATTATTGTCCTTCGAGTGTAAAACTCAATAAATAATAAATACTATATGTAACTCGATAAATGAACAAATAAGTATGTAGATAATGAATGAACCTAAATGAATAAATAAATAAACAAATAAATAAATAGATAAACAAATGAAACTCAATACTGCCTTGTTCGATGTTTCAAACTGTCACAGTGAGCAGTTGAGAAATGATACTTTCGACCGCCTCTTCGAAGTAACATTGTATGTTTACCTGTACGAGATTGATCATTTCCATGGGCAAAATGGGCAGGTGCGAGGGTGCGGAAGCGTACTACTTCCATCACTTGAGAGGGAGTGGCAGTAGTGATCTTTTACGTTTCCGGATGCTTTCCGACATATGATAGCATGCCGCGTTTACAGGCATGTAGCCAACACATTTGCTGCTGGACTTTGGTAGCCCAAGTTCCCCAGCGGATGTGCTGATGCGCTACAGAAGTCGAGATAACTAGAGGAAAATCGCCCGCGACAAACGCGAAAGCGCTCGTGTCGCATGGCTTGGCTTTGCTTGGACGTATGGAACGTGCGGCGTGTTGCGTCTGTGGCTTGTTTGTCGCGTATCACAAGGCGGTCAGGAACGTTAAGAACTCTCAGCAAGAAGAAAATACTGAAACGCCTAGTTCAACATCCACGCAGTTTCTAGGGAGAAGGTAGTATTTTGTCACAACTACGGACCTGCCATCGTCGCATGTGAAAACAGGAACAGTGGAAGAATCCCATTGGGGATCGTACCTGGTCGCTCGGGAGGGGCGGGGTCACATTTGATCGAGGAGCGTCGTTATTTGGCCCTGATAGGAAATTTCCCCTAACGCGACAAAGTTTTTCCGGTTGTTGGCCTTCACTGACTTTTCCCGTTGCATTTGCTCCATGCATTCCTCAGTTGCTGACTAAAACACAGCCACTATTCCTTGATAACTGGTTTCGGAAGTCGACTTGCGACTACTCCCCTCCCCCAACTCAAATTCGAGGCTGGGGATCATGGGCGAAGAGTACTGGACTGCATTTCCCAATAAAAAATAAATGCTGGTAAATTAAAAGATATATCACTCCGCGTGCTTGCACCCTGTACGGCCACTAGCGGACCTATTACAAGTCGACAGTGGCCCTGAGCTAACTGGGCGACACCAAAATCTTACACGAACGCTTTACAATGTCCTTTCATTGGATATTGAGGCCAAGGCGGTGTATTGGCAAATGGCACGGCTTTACACAATGCGCGCGGCGCTCGGGGGGCGAACCCGAGTAGGCTCTCGATACTGACTTGTACATCTTGGCCCCCGAAACTCCGCCATATTCTATAAGCCACTATGATCCTGAAGTAGAAAGCGTGCCTCAGAAAGAGATTCATCAACGGCGAAGACTTCATCGCTTTACCCTTTTATTACAGATTTACATTCACAAACCCAACAGAATATATCTAAAAACAATAACAAAACAGAAATAACAACAGATAACAACTGTTAACAACTTTGCAAGATGAGGCACCGTGAAACCCTCGATCCTTCAACAGCACCAATGGCGAATAAACCTATTGTAAAGCTTCCTGCTTCTTCCGTTTTGGTCGCCATTTCGCTTCAATCGTCGCTTTTATCGATTGCACATTTTCTACAGCTATCGACTTGTCGCTCATGCCTTCCATAACATACAGGACCTATAGTTGCGATGAAGTTCAGTCTATCAGCGGCGAGCACAGCGTATACACTGGAAATTTCTGGGATGCGGTAGGCGTGGCTGCGTGCTTGAACTGAACGTGGCAGTGGCCAACGAGAGATAATCTTTCGTGAGATATTTTCATATTGAGACGGCCACTGCCATGTTCTAGTGCCACGCCTACTCCATCTCAGGGATAAGGAGTGTAGTAATAAGAAGTACTCACCACTCGAGCCGTCATACGAACACTTGCTAATGCGACTAGATGTGATTTCCTTGAGGCATCCCCTTTAGCACTTCGACAGTTTTTCCTTTCATTTTCGATAAGAATTGAATAGATTTGCCCCAAATAGCACTGCTCCCACACACTCAAGTCTCGATTCTGAAATTTGAAGCTTCCAAATGTACCGGGAATTAAAGAATGAATTGAGGGGGCGGGTCCTCATTTGTATGCTCTACCATTGGCGGCGTAATGGATAGCGCGAAAGCGTAAGGTGCAGTTTTTTTCTCCTGCCTGCGGTCAATACTTTCAGCCCTAACTGAGCGTTTTTGAGATCACTCCCTTCTGTTTTGTCTAGCAGCGGCAACGTGACAAATGAGAAATCAAAAAATATCCAATCTACACGGTCTGGACAACCTGCCTTCGACCGGCCTGGTAGGAAATACGGTGATGCGCGCCAGCAGATTGGTATGAAACAGTAATGTTCCCTTCCAGAAAAAATTTTTCAGAGATATACGAAGCTGCTGCCGTAGTGAAAGATCGTACTTCACTTGCTACGATGCTGCCACAAACGTACAGTTCCTCATCATTAGCGGACAGTCGCGGGCGCACAGTCGCGCTGCAAATTGTGACGCAGATAGCAGGCTTGCGGCTCGGCTGGATATGAAATTCAAGTCAGACAGCAATTCAAAGATTGTCAGAAACTCACTCTTCACTTTAGAGCTTGATAAGAGCTGAAAAATTAGAACTTGCAGCGAATACCATCGAAACAGCTCATTCAACCGACCGAGCCGGCAGCCCGCTGTCGCGTCACAGCGCAGCGCGGCTTGTGCCGGCCGAACAGCTCCATAATATGAGGACTGTCAGTTTTTTTGAGTACTTCCTAGTGAGTCCCTCACATACAGCCACTGCTGATGCGTTGAGTTATTCCCGCATGCATTGTCGTGCCTCTTGACCTTCCCTCCCTCCATTCCAATACCTCTTGTCCGCCACCCTCACTCTTAGCTAGAAGGACAAGCAGCATCCCAGTCGACGTTAAACGCTAGAGTTAGAGAAGTCAGTCGGCTGCGGCTTCAGCGTTGAATGCGAAGGCAAGCGATAAAACAATGTATAAAACAGGCGCCATCGGGCCATCCGAGCTACCTTGACAACTTTAGAGTCTGCAGCGAAAGCGACCACTGTTTATGAGGAAAATACAACTTACCTTGATGATAGAAGCTATCCATGTATGCAGATTCATTCTGTAGAACAAATCATGAGCTACAGAAGGCATTCGAACAGCAGCTTTCAGTATACTGAGAATCAGTCGACGTGATACCATATCAATCATACATGTTGGGAACAACGCCAATAGCAGTTTTATACCAGAGCTATAAGGATAAATATACCGCTACGTTAGACCAACTAAGTAATACTACTACACACTGCTTGCTGTACTGACCTTGCTGCATGAGAGGACTATTTAATAGTTTCCAGCATAGGACCCGAAGAACAGTTTTTGGTGCTAACCTAGTTAGAGTGTCATGGTGTAAGAGTAGGTCGATTATGACGACTCTGGTCATCTGTGCTCCACCTCTCACCAAGGGAGTAATCCCTCCTTTCTCCCAGGCTCAGGCTCAGAACAGTATGCACGATCAGAGTTGCCGCGGCCCAAAATCACCGCCTAGCCCCCTCCAACTAAATTGGCGCTCAGTTTTCCACGTTGAGCTTACCTCCCCCACCATAATGCCTAGATCTCTAGCATGCGTGCCTAAGTCCGATTTGTTCAGATTTGCAAGTGAAGTCCGTAAGCGGCACATGCACTGAGCGTTAAGAGGGTAGGTCACAATGCGCAACCCAGTTTTTGCGAGCCGCCGCAACTCGGATCTCATGACACACTTCCATTGCAGACATCACTCAAAATTTATCTCGTTTTATCTGAGGAACTTTGAAAAACACTCTTCCTGTCCCCGCTCTTGAAATAGATGCAGAAAAAAAAACAGACAAACGATGGGAAACGCACCGATTCTGAAGCACGTTGTAA